GCACTCGAACCAAAGACCTTGCATCGACTGGCTGCAGCCGTAGCAGATTTCGTCCTGCCACACTTCGTTCTCGAGTTCGTTGTGGTCGAAGAAGGCGACGACCTTGGCCCACGCCTCGTCACTTGTGGGGTTCTGGGCCGCAAAGGTTGGGTCGAGAAGGAACCGGTAGAACGCTGCGGCGCCTTGGCTCGTGTCGGCGTCGCCCGGCGGCAAATGCTCCAGACACCACGCCAAGGTGTCGAGCATGTACTGCTTCCCGAGGACGTAGTCGCCCTTGGACCAGTAGAGCATCGCGAGCAGAAAGAGCAAGTGGATGTACTGGGCTGGCGCTGGTGGGCTCGTCTGGAATCGGTGCCAGAGCGGAAGCCAGAGCGCCTCGGCCGCTGCGTAGTCGCCAAGGAAGCGGTGCACGGAGCCAAGGTTGATCGATGCAGCGGTAGTGTTGAAGTGCAATGAACCGTAAATGCGCTCCTGCACATCGCTCGTCTCTTGAAAGAGAGCCTTGGCCTCAACGAGCTGGCCACGGCGAAAGCAAACCATTGCGAGGAAGTCGCGTGTGTACACCGAGTCCGGGTGGTCTGTCCCGAAAATCGAGAGCCGCGCGTCCAAGCACTTGCGGAACCAATCCATTGCTTGGTCATAGTCATAGAGCTTAAAGCTGGACAAGCCGAGGGTCGACATGGTTCCAATCGTCGACGTGTGAAGAGGCCCAAGATGCAGAAGCGACAAGGCGTACGTCTCACGGCAGACGTCATAGGCCTCTGCTGCATGCTTGGCGATGATGAGTGCGCGGGCGTAGGCGTTGCGAACATGGCACACGGTCGCGGGTTCGAAGCCGTCCATGGCCAACAGATTTTCAAAGATTGCGCGCCACACTGTCTCGTCCTCGCCGACGTCGCAAGACGCAAAGCCCAAGTGTGTCATGGCGTGTGCGTAGTGGACATCGTGCACGTCGCTCGACTCGAAGAGGCTGCGAGCCTGGCCCGCAGCGGATAAGACGGCAGGATAATCGACCTCGGTCGCGTGAATGTTGGCCAGACAGAGGTGCCGGTGGGCTGTATCAAGCGGCGATAGACCCGATGCAATCTGCGCCGTCAGCGTCCGCTTCATCCAGTCCGAGATGGTCGAAAAGATGAGTCGGTCGACGGCCATGAACGATGTCTCGGCGCGAATGAGCTCAAAGATACCGTCGCGATCACTTGGAACGGTTGACTCGGACGCCTCGCTCTTGATCGTCCCCAACATATCGTCGAGCGCTGTTGGTCGAAGCATATCTTGGATGAAGAGTTCCAATTGACCGGGCGCCATGGCCATTTCGAACCGCGCCTGCATCGTGACGGCCACGTACACCTCAAAGACGCACCAGCTCCGACGGAGCACGATCGGGTCGTTCCACGGGTGCATAATCATGACCACGTTGCCGATGGCTGCGAGCTGCGTCTTGAACGTCGACGACCAGTACTCGAACGGGTACGAGTGCGCGAGGTGCTGGTTGTTGTTGAAGACGCAAAACCAAAGGACCGCTTCGTCAGCAAGGTCTTGGCTGGCGAAGAAGGTGTCGAGGCTGTCGACCGTCTCCAAGAAGAGATAGCTCCATGCGTGCGAGACATACCAATTGGCCTCAGACACAAAATGGCGCGTGGTCGCATCGCTGGCGAGGTGGTCGACGAGCGAGAGCTCGGTGGACTTGGTCATTGGCACGATGTGATCGAAGCAAACTTGGGCCGTCGTGAGACCCTCAAGCTTCTTGCGACCGCCGCAGGCCTCGATGAGGTGGTGGAAGTAGCGCAGCGAGACGCCAAGTGGGCGGGAAGATGTCATTGCCATGGCATTGCTCATCGCGCACTGCGAAGTCTTTTGAACACTAGAAAACCGGACATTCCTAACCAACATTGGTTGCATTTGAACCAATCAGCGATCGCTTTGTATGTTTTGCTCAATTTGTTATGGGATCGGCTTGGCATCCAACCATACAAGCGCGTTCCCTCAACTGCGATGCTCCGGTCGATTGCCAAATGCTGCCAAGCAGCAGATACCACAGATCTGCCACCGCGACGTTCGTCGATAGCGATTCGGTTGCCGACGCGTGACCGTCAACGCCATGGATGCTGCTGGCACTTCGTTGATTCATCGCCCGAGAAGGTCAACGAGCCCAGTTGCCGAAGTGACGAAGCCAGCGAAAGCTCAATGTACTTTTCCGGGGATTTATGCTAGTAGATGCCGCGAGGACCACACGCTATGATAGCACTGACCCACCAACCCCGAGGCTGTTACCGGAGCAGCCATGCTCGTGAGCCAACCACCTACAAGTACGGCACTCGTACTGCCGTTTTGGCATTTGCGAGGTTGCGAGGACCTTAGCTCGTCACTACGACACCAAGCAGCGTCCGCCAGTCCAGGGAATAACCAGCCAAGGAATCTAATATACCTTGCAGCGGCAGATCTGAGTGTGGTCAATCCGAGTTGAAGGCCCATTTTCATTGGTCCATATAAATACAAGGCGCCAATTGCATCGCACGGTTCCAATCCTGTCGGCCAATGGCATCCTCGCTAGGATCCAAAACACAATCTATTTTCGCCCTAAATCGGTTGAGGCTGCCCCATTTCGAGAGAGCCATGCCCAGCGGGTACCTCGAGAAGCAAGCCGCGGTCCCGATGATGCTTCGCCGCCATGGCGACGTCACGCCCAAGCCGCGCGGCCACGCGCTCGGCCAGCACACGCCGGCGTACGTCTACGTGCGCGAGCTTGAGGTGCCAGCGCCGTCCGTGGCGCCCATCACGGTCTTTGACAGCGCCAAGTCCAAAGTGCCCAACTTTATCGCACTCGACAAGAAGGTGCTGCGCTTTGAAGGCTACTTTCTCGAGGCAGTCCACGAGAGCAACCTCGAGAACTACCGCGTCCGCAAGTGCGTCATCCTCTACTACCTCGAAGACGACACGATCCAGATCCTCGAGCCGAAAGTCGAAAACAGCGGCATCCTTCAAGGTAATTTCGTCAAGCGCCACAAAATTCCCAAGCCCGAGTCGGATGTGCACGGCGACATGGCCTACTACACCCACGACGACTTGGAAATTGGCGCCGAAGTCACGTTCTATGGGCGGACCTTCCACGTGCAGTCGGCCGACAAGTTTACAATGGACTTTCTCCTCGAACACGGGCGACGCCAGCGCCGAGACCTCGTGACGCCGCGGGACGCGTACACGGAGGCCCGCAAGGCGCACATGGCGCGCGAGACGGGCGCGGACATGGACGCCAACTATGGCAAGAAGCAATATCCGATGAAAGAGTTTATGGAGGCGAGCCTCGGCAAGTTTGCGCGACCGACCGACCACCGCAAGCGCTTCAACGACCACGACCGCCACGTCCTCCGTTGGTTTGCGCTCTGGGACGACACGTCCAAGCTCTACGGCACCAAGCATCGGTACACGATTTTTTCCAATTTTCGTTGGGTTATCTCATGAGAACACTAGGTACACGATTCATTTCTTCTTGGCCGACAATACCGTCGAGATCCGCGAGTCGTATGAGCGCAACTCTGGCTCCGACCCGTTCCCAAAGCTGCTCAACCGCAGCCGTCTCTTGTTGCAGCCCAAGCTCGAGGGACCCTTTGCAACTGCGCTCTCATCCTCGGACGAACGGACGCCGGAAGGTGACTTTTTTAGCTGGGAACACCTTGTTGTCGGGAGCTACATCAACATTTACAACCGCAACATTTTGCTGTTGGATGCGGACGAAAGCACACGCGAGTGGTACGCATATCCCTCCGCCTCTCGCGACAATGGATCAAATGAAAAATGAACTAGGTACAAGGTCCACGGGATCCACGTCGGGCCGGCCTTGGTGGTTGAAGAAGCCAAAACAAAGCCACCGGCGTTCGTGCCACCGCCGCACAATGGCCTGGGCTCGGACATGGACTCGCTCGGGTCGTGCTACCACCTCACGCCAAAGCCGCACCGCAAGTCGATGGAAGAGACCGATAACAAGATCATTCTGCGCTTCTGCGCCGCCATGGACACGGCGAAACCCGAGGATGTGCACCGGCGGTTCATTGTGAGCTTTATGATCTGCGACCTCTCGGTCATGATCATGGAGCCGCCTCAGCGCAACAGCGGCATTGGCGGCGGCAAGTTCATGGAGCGTGGCGTGCACAAAAACCCACTCACCGGCGTGTTTTTTCAAAAAACCGACTTTTACGTCGGCGCCCGCATCCACCTCGTGGGCCGCGTCTTCCTCCTCGACAACATGGACGAGTACTCGGCCAAGTACATGGAGGCCAACGGCAACGACTTTCCGTTCGCGGACCGCAAGAAGGCGACTGCAAAGATCTTGGCGGCGTTGCGCGCAACCCCTAACCGCGTGGCCAAGGTTTTTGGATGCAATGCCAGAACATTGGAGGTCTCATGATGACGCATGTCGTAGGTGCGCGGGCAGAAGGAGCTGAGCGTGGCCGAGGCGACGCGCTGGCTCGAGGGTTTAGATCTGGTGCAGCATGAAGTCATTGCATTCGTTCGCGCCTTCATGAGCGACGACGGCCATCTGGATGTGGCACAGGTCCTCGCCCAGCTGCAGTGACCAGACGATCCATGTAGAGCCAAATTACATTAGAAGCAAGGGATATAATACAAAATCTGGCATACTTTTTTCGATGCATCCCAGTCTTGGACGACGTGTTGTCGGTGGTCCGATTGCAGTCCGACTCGTGTGGGCCTTTGGATTCGAGGATTGTTCAGCAACCCTACTGCTGTACATGTGTTCTGTGCTGCATGTCATCGTACTCGTCAAGTCCAATGGATCCCATGCGAATGCCTTACAACATATGTACAAAGCCCTGGCGAGGCCATAGAAAACGCGACGCATACGGAAACCTACCACCCGCAGCGCCACCAGTGGCGGCGCGCTATCGGCGACGTGAGCTCACGATCGCTTCGCTCTGCGATTCGAGACGACGTGAATACCACATGCGGCGGGTCCACCAATGGTGCCAGTAGCGACAGCCGCTGGGCCGCCAACGCTTGCGACGGTGGCGCTAGGCTCGTACACGCATCGCGGCCGTGACTGCAGTACGTCGACGCACTTGCGTCGACGCAGTTGGCGCAAAAGTAGCGCAGAAAAGGCGGGCACGTGCCGCAGTAGTGCAAGGCGCCTTGGATCTTGGTCGTGCACACGACGCAGCGCGTCGAGCCCCAGCTGTCGTGTGTGATGTTGGCCGCGTTTAGCGCCGCAAGGAAGACATCGATGGCGTCGACTGAGTCGAACTGATGCGCGAGCTGCCGGAGCCAGTACTGCCGCAGAAGGACCACCTCGTACATCGGGCTCGTGGGCCCATACCACGCAAGTCGCTTCTCCACTGCGTGGTCCAAGTACTTGGCCGCTGTGGCAAACTGCTTGGTCGAGACATGAACCATGCCGAGAAACATTTCAACTACAAGAGATGGATGTCGTGAGCGCAATCCGCAGCAATCCGCCGGCACGTATTACTGTACACAACGTTGATCGTGTCGTCGCCAAACGTCGACTTGGCCACCTCGAGCAGCGACAATAGCTGCGCCTCGGCCTCAGCAAACTGGCCTTGCTTGCGATGGAGCTCGGCCAAGGTGAATTTGGCAATGACCGTGTTCTCATGCGACGCCCCGAGCACGCGGCTAAGACGTTCGGTGGCCGTTAACGCCAGTGGCATCGCACGCTCGACGTTGCCTTGCTCGTTGTAGAGCGTCATGAGGTGCTGCAGCGACGCCAAGGTTCGCGCGTGGTCGTCACCGAGCACGGCGACCTTGCGCTCGTAGGCGAGGAGGAGGTAACTCTCGGCCTTCGCCACGTTGCCGACGCGGTGGTACGCGATGCCGAGATGGCCCATCGTCGTGATTGTGTCGAGGTCGTCGAGGCCTTTTGTGCGCACGAGCCGGTCGTAGCACGCTTGCGCCATCGGCACGGCCTCTTCGTGGAGTGCGTGGTGGGTGTAGAGCACGCTGAGGCTGTGCAGCGCGATGCTGAGCGCGTCGCTCTCGTCGCGTTGGTGCGTTTTGGCGGCGTCGATGGTGGCGACGAGCTCCGGCTCCCACACCGCCCGAGGCTCCATGAGGAGACCGCGCATGAGCGCCGCGGCCCCACGCGACGTGAGCGTGCGCTCGTGGTGAAGGCCGAGCCCAGCGGTACCGTACGCAGTGGACGCGATGTACCAATCGCGCGCCAACGGCATTTCGCCGAGGACATGGTGCGTCTCGGCGAGCGCACTCGCCCAGAGCGCCTTGTCGGCGTCGTTGGTGGCAGTCTCCATCTGCATGCGCAGCGTGTCCTTGACGTACGACTCGAGAAGCGTAAAGACCATCCGGTCGAGCTTCGTATACCCGACTTGGTCGACGATCGCGCGGTCGATGCTGGCCTTGTCCGAGGCCACCGTCGCCTGCGCCTTCTCGCTGCGGATCGTACTTAGCATCTCCAAGAACGTGCCGGGACTGGTCTGCATATCGCGCAAGAACGCGGCGCGGTCCATGTGCGCGAGCTCGAAATTGGCGCCGACGCAGATCGCCACGTAGACCTCATAGACGCACCACGCGCGCGTTAACGCCGTTGGGTTCTTCCACGGGTGCAGCACCATGACGACGTTGCCAATGGCCGCGAGCGACTCGTGGAACGTGGTGGCCCACCAGTCGAAAAGCTTGTCGTGGGTCCGGTGCTGGTTGTTGTTGAAGAGGCAAAACCACAGAGACGGATCCGCGATGTTTTTGGCGGCGAAGAAGGCCTCGAGCGACGCGAGCGTGTCGAGGAAGAGGTACTGCCACGCGTGCGAGACGTACCACGTCGCGTCCGATGCGAAGGACGGGGATGTCAGCGCCACGTGGTCGACGACCGACGATTGCATCGAGGCGGTGTACGGCATGACGTACTGGACGCAGACGTCGGCGGTTGAGAGGCCTTGGAACGCGGACGGCCCGCCATGCGCCTCGATAAAGTGGCGGAAGAACGAGAGCTTGAGCCCGCATGGCGGTGTCAACGTCGTCATGCGGACCTTGTTCCACGAGAAAGGCCAGCGTCGGATGCGCGCACGCTGATTGGCTGTGAGCCGCGGGGCAGACGATCGCCATACCACATCGAACGCTCCGCCGATGTTCGAGTTGCTGTACGTTGCTGCAGCGAGCGTGTTGAGAGGAGTCGGTGAGCAACTTCGTAGCAAGCACGCTGCTTGGCTCGACGCAATGTAGGATCGTGCAAGAGTGTGGGTGAGGAACTAGAATCTGAATCAATGAGCCAGATTGGAATAAGAACTACGATGTCGGCGGTTTGAACGAGGGAATGCGCAAGAAGGTGTACAGTACTGTGGCCGTGTGAGCGCGCCACATATGAGTTGCGCAAGATTGCGAATGGGTGGAAAGTCGGTGGGCATGGGTGTAGCCACCCCGGTGATCATCAAACCGGGTGTACTGTACCGATATTGTAGTATCGCATGGGAGCCGCAGGGGCAAGTGACGTTGCGGTAACATTAGGCTGGCGAGCACGCACTGCAAATCTTTAGCTAGTTCTCATAAGAGCGGATGCATGAGCTCCTACCAAACTGTGCAAAATTTATATTTCACGTGCCCATACGGTTCAAAGCGTGGACTGGATGGACTGGGCTTCTTGGCGCTTCGGACCGGGCATGAATCGGCAAGTACGTGTTGCCGTGGACGGTTGTGCCCTAGCGAGTCGATCCGAACTTTACACGTCATGATTCATATCCCAGCTCCAAAAGTTCACTTAACTGGCACTGCAAACACACGATAGCAACGACATGCAAAGCAAAAGTGCCGACCGATAGTTGACTCGACACCCGAGAGATGATTCTTTTCTTTGCTTGCTCGATGCGACATACTGCTCCTCGCACGCCGGTACATTAAACGGGTCCTTCATAGCTCCGTTTTGCTGCAGAAGACGAGTAGTACAGTAGTAGCCAATGCGAGTGATGGCTACCTACCAATGCCAACATCGTCACACAGAAGCAGCGGCTGTGCCCGGCATTTCTCGATCCTCGCAAGTCGCATCGGGTGGGTAGAAGGTACACTGTACAACTGCAATCCGACAAAATACGAAAGGAGTAAAAAGGTCGGGTTCGAGGCAGCTCGCACCCCATATTTTTAGGAGACTTCCTGTGGCAGCACATGGGAGATCCTCGTTGCCGGGTGGGGACGCCTACACAATATTGTAAGACGAATTGTCGGCGCGGCGCTTGGGTCTAATTTAAAATCGAAAAAACGTCCTGACCCTTCGCATTCGACCGCAGCATGCGCCGGGGCAGCGGGTACGCAGTCGTGAAGGAGAAGCCGTCGTCGTCGACGCACGACCTTGTCCTGGGCCGCGTCTACTGGTTCATCGAGTGGCTTTCGTTCGGCGCCGGCCTCATCGTTGTCGTCCTCGTGGCGTTTGATGCGATCGCCAACAACTGGGCGTTCAACGACTTTATTGGGAATGGCTACCAGTACATGACACCAGTCGCGGACGTCGCGCACGCCAGCCAGCTCGAGGGAGCGTACGCGTTTCCACCTGGCGCGGGCATCTCGGACCTCTCGCGCATTTCCAAATGGATGGTCAACTACACCATCAGCAACCTCGTCCTCCCCGGGAACGACAAGATCTACGTGCTCTCGGCCGGCACGTACACGATCAACGGCGGCATGAACCTCTGCAACATCTTCAAGCGGTCGTACCCGTCGGCCAACGCCAGCGCGGGTCCGATCCAACTCGGGGTCGCCCAAGACGCCATCACGTTTCTGCGAGGCGAAGCCTTTAGCCACCTCTTCACGGACGACGCGACAAGCAATTTGGCGAACGCGTCGATGCGCTCGGCGCAGCTCGGCGCGCTGGGGTATGCGCCCGCCCGCATCCAAACCGACATTCGCCTCACGCAGCGCATTCCCGCGCTCAGCAATGTGACCAGTGTCCAGAGCTTTCTTGTCGGCTACTACCGCATCTACCCGAAAGCGTACTGCACCGGCTGCATCCCGATCGCGGAGCTAGGCCACGGCACGTGCAACTTGAGCCTTGTCGTACGGCCAGATCAACGCGGCGTCACGGTTGTCAACGCGTCGCATGTCGACGGCTCGGCCCACGGCCTCGGGCTCATGATCCAGCAAAATGCTTTCAGCGCCGCGTCGCACTACCTCAAATTCATCGCGATGCTGTTTGCAGTCGGCGGGTACCTCGCGAGCCGACGGACCGTGCAGTGGCAGGAGGTCGATGTGAACGTGACCGAGACGTTTCTGCACAAGATCGTCAAGATGGTCCTGCCGAGCTACTACCCGCACGTCTCGCACGCGATTCGGTTCGACATGATTTGCTACAATTCCGACATGTTTGTGCTCTTCTTCACGACAAGCGTCGTCCTCGACATCAACCACGCGATCATCTTTACGCGGGAAGTGCAAGTCTTCAACCAAGTGTGCTTCAAGTGGTCGATGGGCTTTCAGCTCTTTGCGCTCAGCACGCGCTTGCTCTGGCTCAACTGTGCGTTTCTCAAGGCACTCAAAGTACTGTGGCACCTCGTGTCGACGGCCACGTACTGCGGACAAAGCCATATCATGGGCTTCTTCAACCTCCGGAGCGTCACATCTCTGTACCTGAGTGCGATCATGCTCTTTACGTCCCGCCGTTCATCGAGTACAACAACAGCGTGCGCGCAGACATCAAGAACGTCGACGAGCCGCTCGATGGGATCGCGTTGGACTTCTGCAGAGCTTTTACGTGCGCGGGTCGGGTGCGATAGCTGCAGGTCTTGTCTCCAACATTCTCATGGTCGCGCTGCTCGACCACACGTGCAACATGGCCTTTTGGCGCCGCCTCGGCCAAAACAGTTTGGCGCGCCAAGCGATCTACAACAGCACGTCGATTTTGATGGACGACATTATCGGGATTGATCCTGGAGCGATCGATGCCGTCTCGCCTGTGATTCACTGCAAGGCCCGTCGGCTCTGCACGCTCCAGTGGTTCTTCCTCAGTCATTTGAGCCTCTTTGGCTTGCCGGAGAAGGAGTTGAAGAAGAAGAACCACCAGCATGCGCACCATCCTCCGGCGAGTGATACCACCATGGGTATGAGTCAACTGCCGTCCGCGCACGGCGACGGCGCCGAAAGCAGCAACTCGGGCCGGTCAGATCAACTCTACCTCGTCGCGCAAGGCTCGGACCACCACTTTCATCTCCTCGACAGCGACTACAAAGACGTGAAAAGCCTCATGTTCAACATCAAGATCCTCAAAAACACCAGTGTCCTCATCAAGTAGATAGTCTGTCTTCGATATATCTAGGTGTCTTGAAATGCATGTACACTATTGTCGTATGTCCGTCAAGGATCGGGCAACTCGATGCCGCTGGCTGCTTCGCGTTGAAGGGCTGCTGCTGCGCGAGTGAATTAGGATTCTACAACGCCCTATCGTACGCGCCGCGATGGAACCAGCGACTAGAAAGTTTTTGGTTGTGGCCTTCGCACAATGGAAACGACATGGCTGCAAACACACCATTTTTTCTTGTTTTAAAGTATCAAGCGTATACATCAACATACAACACGACGAACGACTAGACGACGCCATCGTCGGCAGTCCAGACCGCGATGTTGCCGCGAAGCGCTTGCATGATCATGGCGGCGCACTGATACGCTTTGTGGTCACTGAGGCTGTCGAGGTCGTCGAGGGCATCGCGAAAAACGCTCTGTGCAAATGCTACGGCCGCGTCTCGCGCGTTGCCAATCTCGTAAAGAAAGACCGCAAAGTTGAGTGCAAGGCTAAGCCGCGTCGGACTCGTCGGTGCCAGCTCCACGACGGCGATGCTCCATGCGTCATTGTAGGCCATCGCACCGCGCTCCGCCCACGTAGCATTGCATACTTCGGCCATGTACCGGTAGTAGTCGCCTTGGGTCTTCAAGTAGGCAACCTTGGCGTCGACTGTCGGCGCCTCGGACACGAGGCGGTCACTGAGGAGAGACAAAAACGTCTCACACGTCGACTTGATCTCGGCCGCGATTTGCGTGCGGTACGCAGTCAGATCCGAAGCGCGCGCCGGCGACCACGTCGTCTTGGCGTCTTGAATGGACGCAGTGACGCGCCACGCGAGCCGAAGGGGTCCCACGAGGTTTTTGAACGCGATGACGAGCAGGTCAAACTCGTCGCTTTGCAGTGGCGCTGGAAACGCGAGGAGCTGCGTAGCGAGGGCCGCCATCTCGTCGTAGCGCTGGGCCTCGCCCGCGAGCTGCGCGAGGAACGCTGTTGTCGATCGGTCCATGCGTGGGCGAATTGTGAAATGTGGCAACGCTCGAATGTGGTGAAGCTTGCCACCTCGTCCACCGCAGCGGCGGCGAGACACCCTTGGCGCCACTGCCCTGCAACACCAACATTTTCGTTTTGTCGAATGATGGTGTTTTGACGCACAGATGGATGCGATTTTGAGCAGGGCGATCCAACAACCAACACCAGCTGCTCGCTCGTTTGGCGCTGTCGAGTGTAAAATCATCACGCCCACCCCTCGTGCTCCACCGCTACCGTGGTGCTCCTGGCCATAAACACTGCAGCCCTCCACGAAACGCCAGGGCATGCCAGGAATTGAACCCGCATCAGCACCATGGACACCCACCTCGTGTCCTCTCGCGCCGTGCGCCATACGATTGGCCAAACGCTACCTGCATCCCGTCGTTTGATTGGCGGTTGGTGCGACGTCCGCGCTCTCCCATTGGCGGGACGCCATGTCCGCCGCCTACGGTCCGGAAACGACCTGTCTATCCGGATTGCGATCGCCAACAAGCCAAGAAATATTTACCGGTACGACCGCGCGGGATGCCCAAGTCGACGACGACAAGTACAAGTAGCTTTGTCGCGAAGCTCATCACGCTCGTGGCGGCCGCGCCCGATTACGTCATCGGATGGTCCGCCGACGGCAGCAAGATCGTCGTCCAGGCCGTCACGCCGCTCGAGAAGGAGTTTCTGCCGTCGTACTATGGGCACACGAGCTTCACGAGCTTTGCGCGGCAGCTGCGCGTCTACGGCTTTACGAAGTCCAAGCTCTACGGCCTGCCGTGCGATGAAACGATGAACGCCAAGCGCGGCTTTGGCTACATCTTTGCCCATCCGTTCGTGCACCGCGACCGCCCACAGGACCTCCGTCATGTGAAGCGCACGACGATGGACGACAGCCACGTCGGCGAGCTCCGTGCGGCCGTCGACGGCCTCGAGGCCGAGTGCACCGCGCGCGCGATTGCCGCCAACGCGCCCATTTACACCAAGCGCGACCATGGCTTCGTGCCCTTCTTCCCGCTCGAGCTCGGGTACGAGTCGTCGTCGGAGGACCAGCAGCATCGGCCACTGGACGACGTCGATCTGGACATCCTCGACTTGATTCTAAGCAGCACCAATGCCAGCATAGTGTAGTCCACCCGTTGTTGTCCATGTCGCGCCGAGTTGCGTGGTGGCATCCGTGGTGGTGGGCCGGCCTCCTGACAAACCCGGGCTTGAGTGGCTTGAGCGCGTGGCAGCAAGGCGTCGACGGCCACGCAGTAGTAGGGCAGTCGCTACACACAGTGCACGGACGCGGGAAGAATCGACGCTGGCGAAAGCGATCTAAATACCTACATTCTCGTGCATCAAACACCGTCGGCAACGTTGCTCACAGGCGCAGCAACGACATGTCTTGGCCGCTACGGTCGGCGTTGCGCACTAGTAGAAGCGAGGCTCCGAGCGTGAGGCTTGGTCGTCGGCTTGGGCGTTTACCGTGTACTACGTGGCAAGGGTGTGGCAAGAAGAGTGGATCTGTTGGCCAAGTTCAAGCTCGCCAAGTTCAAGGTGCTCGGTTTCTCTGGGACAAAAGGGCGTCTGTCTTTGAAGCAAGGACGCCCACATATCCTCGTTGGTGTCGTCGCATCGACACGCTACACTGTACTCAGTCGACTGCTAAACGTCCCAATCTACTAAAAGGTTAACCGCGACGGCGCATACTACCAATTCCACGCCACCGCGCAGCTGGCCGCGTCCACTCAGATGTTATAACACGAGATAACACACAAGCGTGGCAAGTGCAATGTGCCATCAAATAAAAGAAAAGAATCGCCCTTCGAACGAAATTGCCAAGCATGTCGGACCGTGGCGATAGGTCTGTCTGCACGGGTCGACGTCGATGTCCACCCCGTGCGTACTCAGCAGCGTTTTTTTACTGAACAGGACTGGTACCTTGGACAAGCATCCCGCGGGCTGGGTTCCAACACCGCCGCCAACGGTCTCCATCACTGGACGTCGACGACTGCAGTCCATTGCGACCTGTAGCGCACCGCTACCTGGCACTACTGCGTGCACACCATAATTGATGTTTCGAGCGCAGTCGTTGTCCAGGATGGGCTGCGTCCTACGTCGGAATATGCCACGCATAATTACAATGTATTTCAATTCCTTTGACGTGCCGTGCAGTTTGTTATAACACGTAACACCGAGACAGGCGGTGCATTGGTTGGGTGGGCGAAGTGAGGTGGCGCGTGCTGGCGTCAGCGAGTAAGTCACGTGGTCGCTGGCTCATTTTGCAAAGTGCTTCGCCATGCCTGCCAGCCTCGACCGGTCCTCGCTCGTCTTCCTCGCGCAGCTCGCCGAGCAGGCCGAGCGCTACGACGAGATGGCCGACTACATGAAGACGGTCGTGACCTCGGACGCGACGCCGCTCGACCTCGAGGAGCGCAACCTCCTCGCCGTCGCGTACAAGAACGTCATTGGCAGCCGCCGGGCCGCGTGGCGTGTGCTCCAGGCCATCGAGACGCACCGCAAGAGTGAGCGCGTCGAGCACGTCCAGAAGTACCGCCTCAAGATCGAGGCCGAGCTCCAAGCGACGTGCGACGAGATGCTCGAGATGCTCAACAAGCAGCTGCTGCCGTCGGCGTCGTCGCCCGAAGACAGCGTGTTCTACCTCAAGACGCAGGGCGACTACTACCGGTACCTCGCCGAGTTCCAGTCCAAGGAGCAGGGCGCGTGCGAGAAGGCGCTGGCGTGCTACGGTCAAGCCACGGACATTGCGACGTCCAAGCTCCACTCGACCAACCCGCTCCGCCTCGGCCTCGCGCTCAACTTTGCAGTCTTCTACTGCGAGATCATGAAGCTGCCGGACCGCGCGTGTCAGCTGGCCAAGCAGGCGTTCGACGACGCGATCGCCGACATGGACTCGCTCACGGAGGAGAGCTTCCGGGACGCGGCGATGATTCTGCAGATCATTCGCGACAACCTGACGCTGTGGACGTCCGAAGAGGACGACGACCACCACCCGTAATAACCTAAGCTAATGCAATGTAATTTGATGACCCTCGTCGCGTTGCAGTTTGGTTTGATAGAGTTGGCATCGGCGAGGTAGACAATATTGTGTATAAACAGACACATGAAGATGGATTGCAATTAGCTACCCTAAACGGCGAAGGAAGATGGACTAAAGCATCGGGTGCCACGTGCGCGTTGCAATCGGCTCGAAGCTGGCAAAGGGCGCTTGCTCGTCGGCTGCGACGTTGTTCGTAGTGCAGTACGTCTGGTAGTCGCACCACAAAGTCGCAGTCTCTTCATCGGTGGCTCGGGTGACCAGCGCTTGCTCGAGAAAGTACCGGCGCGGTGGCACATAGCAGTTGAAGCTGCGGGTGTCGTGGTCGCAGAACGTCGAAGACTTGCCTTGACGCAAGCAGTTGGCGCAGAAATGATAGGCAAAGGCGGGGCACTTGGCGCACTCGAACCAAAGACCTTGCATCGGCTGGCTGCAGCCAAAGCAGATTTCGTCCTGCCACACTTCAGACTCGAGCTCGTTCTGGTCGAAGAAGGCGACGACCTTGGCCCACGCCTCGTCACTTGTGGGGTTGTGCGCCGCAAAGGTTGGGTCGAGGAGGAACCGGTAGAACGCTGCGGCACCTTGGCTCGTGTCGGCGTCGCCCGGTGGCAAATGTTCCAGACACCACGCCAAGGTGTCGAGCATGTACTGCTTCCCGAGGACGTAGTCGCCCTTGGACCAGTAGAGCATCGCGAGCAGGAAGAGCAAGTGGATGTACAGGCCTGGCGCTGGTGGGCTCTTCTGAAATCGGTGCCAGAGCGGAAGCCAGAGCGCCTCGGCCGCTGCGTAGTCGCCAAGGAAGCGGTGCACGGAGCCAAGGTTGAGCCAGGCATAGATCGTGTTCAAGTGCAATGGACCGTGAATACGCTCTTGCACGGCGCTCGTCTCTTGAAAAAGGGCCTGAGCCTCGACGAGCTGGCCGCGGTTGAAGCAGATCATGGCGAGGTAGTCACGCGTGTTCACCGTGTCCGGGTGGTCTGCCCCGAAAAGCGAGAGCTGCGCGTCCAAGCACTTGCGGAACCAATCCATTGCTTGGTCATAGTCATAGAGCTCGTAGCTGGACAAGCCGAGGATCGACGTGGATGCAATCGCCGACGTGTGAAGGGGCCCGAGATGCAGAAGCGACAGGGCGTACGTCTCACGGCAGACGTCATAGGCCTCTGCTGCATGCCTGGCGACGATAAGTGTGCGGGCGTAGGCGTTGCGAACATGACACACGGTCGCGGGTTCGAGGCCGTCCATGGCCAAGAGATTCTCAAAGATTGCGCGCCACACCGTCTCGTCCTCGCCGACGTCGCAAGACGCCGAGCCCACGTGTGTCATGGCGTGTGCGTAGTGGACATCGCGCACGTCGCTCGACTCGAAGAGGCGACGGGCGTCGCTTGCTGCAGTAAAGACGCACGACCGATTCCCCTCGGTGCCATAAATGTTGGCAAGACAGAGGTGCCGGTGGGCTTCATCAAGTGGCGAGAGACCCGATGCGATCTGCGCCGTCAGCGTCCGCTTCATCCAGTCCGAGATGGTCGAAAAGATGAGTCGATCGACGGCCGTGAACGATGTCTCGGCGCGAATAAGCTCAAAGATACCGTCGCGATCACTTGGAACGGTTGTCTCGGACGCCTCGCTCTTGATCGTCCCCAGCATATCACTGAGGGCCGTCGGACGAAGCATATCTTGGATGAGGAGCTCCAATTGACCAGGCGCCATGGCCATTTCGAACCGCGCCTGCATCGTGACGGCCACGTAGACCTCAAAGACGCACCAGCTCCGACGGAGCACGATCGGGTCGTTCCACGGGTGCATGATCATGACCACGTTGCCGATGGCTGCGAGCTGCGTCTTGAACGTCGACGACCAGTACTCGAACGGGTACGAGTGCGCGAGGTGCTGGTTGTTGTTGAAGACGCAAAACCAAAGGACCGCTTCGTCAGCAAGGCCTTGGCCGGCGAAGAAGGTGTCGAGGCTGTCGACCGTCTCCAAGAAGAGATAGCTCCATGCGTGCGAGACATACCAATTCGCTTCAGACACGAAATGGCGCGTGGTCGCATCGTTGGCGAGGTGGTCGACGAGCGAGAGCTCAGTCGACTTGGTCATTGGCACGATGTGGTCGAAGCAGACCTGGGCGGTGGTGAGACCCTCAAGCTTCTTGCGACCGCCGCAGGCCTCGATGAGGTGGTGGAAGTAGCGCAGCGAGACGCCGAGCGGGCGAGGAGGCGAGGCAACCATGTTGTGGTCGAACCAGCAATTCCAGAAGTGACACCTAACCAGCTGCCTAATCAGCTGTTCGAGTGAGCTTCGATACATTATTATTTTGTACCTACTGTACCATGGTGTCATGCCATACGTTGTGTCAGTTGTGCATTTGGCGGCGTACTGTGGGATTCAAGGCTACCATCGTTGTGTGTTGCATCGAGTTGGTCAGGCTTTAGGGCTGAAAGAACGCAACTTGAGATTGCACATGGCATATGCCGAAGTTAGCCTGCACTGCCGAATGCAACCACCTTGTGCCACCAATACGTGCCACAAAGACACATTTAGTCGCCGCTTCCAAAACCAGGGGTCACGATGGCTGGCGACGTCGTCTGCTCGGCCGAGGTCCGGTACCGAGAGCAGCACACGGACAAGAGCCGCAACTCGGAAGGAGCATGCGAGCTCGTGCTCACGCCCATGGGCCTGTCCCTGCGCTCGGGCGCCAAGCAGCTGCGTGCGATCCTGCTCCAGGACATTCAGGACCTCCAAGTGAACGCAGCGTCGGCGGCGCGGGTCCGGTACATGATGCGACTGCGGCTGCGCCAGTCGCCGCCCATCACGTACGTCTTTGAGTTCAGCGGCGACGACGATCTGCAGCTCTTCAAGACGCAGCTCGGCCAGCGCCTCGTGCAGTCGTCGGCGACGCCTGCCTCCAAGCAAGAAGGTGTATCCTCCCTTTCGTCCATCGCCATCGTATCTCAACTCTCCCTTCTAGTCATGTCGGAGACGGAGCGCAAGCAGCGCGCAGCGCTCCTCGCCGCGCACCCCAACACGCTCAAGCGGCAGCACACGGACATGGTCACGGGCGGCCTTATCTCGGAGAGCGATTTCTGGAACCTGACGTGTCGGAAGCAGCTGCTCATGGCCGAGGCCGAGAAGCGGCAGAAGACCGGCAAGACGTCCGAGATCCTCACGGACGTCCAGGGCCAGAACCAGAGCGGCGAGCAAGCCGTCAAGTACAACTTGAACCCGGAGATCATCCACCAGATCTTCGTCCAGTACCCTGTCGTGTACATGGCGTACCAAGAGCAAGTGCCCGACAAGATGGACGGCGTCGAGTTCTGGACCATGTTTGTCAAGAGCAAGTACGCGCACCGCGACCGGCTCAAGCACCAGCAGAGCGGCGTCGAGGACTTGTTTACGATCTACGAGGAAAAGTGGCAGAAGGCGCAGACCACGCCGGCCGTCCAAGGCCTCGTGGACCCGCTTATAGACCTCACGGCAACGGCGCAAGACAATATTGTCAATACGACGATCGCGCCGCCGGAGATTACCGACACGAACATTGCCAAGTTCAACCGCCACGCTGCCGACGTCCTCAACGCCGCTGCGGCCCTCCAGCCCAAGAAGAAGAAACCCATGGCGGCCAAGAAGGCTGTGCTCGCCGAGGCCATTGTGATCGACGACCTCCAGGCGCCGGCCCCGGCGCCGCACATTCCATTGAGTCTCGACAACACGGCGCGATACTTCGAACATGACGTATGTCGTCTCAACCAACTCGCAAGGATTCTTATGGATGGAGATGGATAGGAACACTCGCTCGTGCACCGGTCGTTCATGCAGCAACTCGAGCCGGCCCAGCGCGCGTTCGAGCGCATGCTGAGCGCGCAGCCCAACTTGACGGCCGCGTTCCCCAAAGGTACCGTGCGTTCCGTCCAAACGTTGAAACATTGATACATTGCGTAGGCCCGGTGGCAAACATCACGGCCGAGATCCTTGCCGAGAGCTCGCAGAGTGCATCGAGCGAGACCGTGGCCAACCCGCGCTCCGAGCAACACGCTCGGTTCATTCCCAAGTCGGTTTTCATTTGCATTTTGTACAAAGGGGTAGGGTTGACACGACGTGTCTATGGTGTAGTGACTTTAAGACGTTGTTGACCAACCTTTTCCACGATGTGAATGAGCTCCTGCGCCACTACCTGAGCTTCAAAGAGAAGGTCGCCTCGGACGGGTCCCCCGAAGCGCGGCTCAAGCTCGAGCGCATCAAGGCCAAGATGGGCGAAAAGTGGGAACACGTCGATCGCATGCGTCTCAAGCTGCCGCCCGCCGAACGCACGTCGCTCGGCCCGCTTTTGCTGCCGCTGAGCGACCAGCTCAACATTCCGTTCTTGGACGATTAACTTGTCCTCTTGAAAGAAGCACGTTTGAAGGACCTATATTTTTCGCGTTCTTGGCATAGTTGATGCAAATATGACATTATTGTGCATGCTACAGGACGCGCAACGCGTGGTGCGCTCGCATCTGCTGCGACACGTAGGGACGAAAGCAACTTATCGTTTGTGCTTAAGCAGTGGGCCGTTGCAGGCTATTTGAGCGTGCATCTAAAACCGTCTCTCGACGTCAGGGCGATCGATGACAGGGTACGACGACATGGCCGCAACTCCTCATGCAGATGATGCTGTAGCCGTGGCAGTATGTATGGGCAGAACCAGCGCACGTACGGTCGATCCTGCCAGAGACGACAATGATGGCTCATGGGTCGTAGCGGCGCCAACCTGTACGGCCACAGCGGCTACGCCAACGAGTAAGCCGACGACGCTGTACTGCATCCAAGTGTGCGCATAGGACCTTGCATGCGATGCCATCGTCGTCACAGCCGCCGCCCGAAGCCCGCGGCCGGAGCTACGGCGGCGGCCAGAGCTCGTTCAACCCCTTCGCACACGAAGGCCAAGGCCGATACAACAACCCGTACGAGCAGCCGCCGCCGCCCACGTCGCAGACGATGCAGATCAACCAAGGCAGCGGGTTCCACTCGATGGGCCAAGGCCACCACCGGTATATATACTCGTCCTATCATTAGCATCGCGAGCCATGCACTTGTAGCCGGCGTGCCGAGAATTTCGAGGTCGTCTCGACGAGCTACCAGCCGCCAGCGGCGGAAAGTGGCTACGGCAGCTACGCACAATCGGAGCCGCAGGCGTATGGCTATGATCCGAGCTACGGGCAGACGTCGCCAGGAGAGTACCAGTCGTCGTACGGGGCACCACCTGCGTACTCGCAGGGCAGCGATGGCTACAACTACCCGGCGTACGCGGAGGCTGTCAAGTACCAGTAAGAGAGATGTGGACAAAGCTGAAACCTAAATCTTATTGTCTGAAGGTCCATGGACGCGGGTGGCAACAACAACTACAGCAGCCCCTGCGACCACTACTACGCGGTACATCACCTTGGCATGCGACGCCACCCGCCTTGACGTACGCTGCTATAGACCCGTCCTCCGTCGGCGAGTCCGATGCCCGAAATGGTATCTTCCATCTCTTTGCTATACCCATTTCTCATTGAAGCATAGGACCGCCCGTTGTCCAGTGGCTCGTCAATGCATTCTGTACGAGCTCCCATTTTTCTTGTTTCTTGGGCTCAGTGTACGCTAGCGACCCGTGTCGAGCTCGAGCCGAAGCGCCCTTGGCTCGGCAGGTGCCGCGATGGCCATGCACTCGATGCCCCACGTACTTCAAGTCTCTTGGAATATGCGCAAGCAAGATTGAGTGTAGGAGGCGCACCAGCACATGCCTCCGCACGTGCCCAAGCTGCAACATTTGTATGAGGATCCGAGCCGCGCGTACGACAACAACGCCAAGCCCGCGCCGCAGCTCTGGGGTGGCACTGGCAACTTTGGCCACTCGAGCACGCGCATCTCACGTCCCCCTGGTGGCCACAGCCAGATTTCATTTGGTTGAGTTTTCAGTCGCACGAGCTGTCCGACTCCACTACTACACAATTCAGAAAATAGGTTGTGGCGTTTATGGACACAAGGTTGTGGCGTCTATGGATTGTTCGTGGTGGACTTCCAGAGCAGCCTGGCCATGTCCGAATACATCCAGCCGTTGGTAAAATGAACGGAAACTACGATGCGTCGCCACGACCATCTACCTCCCAAGAGAGTGCGCGGGTCTGCGATTGAGGGACAGGCCAGCTCTGTCGTCGCAGCCATCACATTACCGGCCACATCTTGGCACCACGTCAAAACCCTCAGATTTGCATTCGCTTCATCCTCCCCACCTCCTTCTGTACCATGGTCCAGTTCCTCTCGCTCGCTCTTCTTTCGACGGCCATCTTGGCTGCATCGCCCCCCGCCAAGGAATGCGGCTCCATGTGCCTCTTTAGCTCGCTTCCCGGCTGCGCTGGCTGCGGCGGTGGTGTCGTCGGGGGTGGTGGCAACAGCTTCAACAACAACGGTGGCAACGACGTCCCAACGCCGATGCCGTCGGTGCCAACACCAATGGCCTCGGTGCCGTATCCTGCGCCATCGGTGCCGTATCCTGCGCCATCGGTGCCCGCTGCCAACGGCATGCAAGGCGGCTTGACGCAGCCGGGCAATGCACCAGGCATGATGCTAAACCAGCCGATGCTCAAGGGCCTCGCGAACGCTGGGAACATGGGGGGCTTCTCGGGGGGCAACCATCCCAACAACAACAACGGGCCTGGTGCGATGGGCAACTCGAACGGCTTTGGCAACTCGAATGGCTTTGGCAACTCGAACGGCTTTGGCAACTCGAACGGCTTTGGCAACTCGAACGGCTTTGGCAACACGAACGGCTTTGGCAACATGAATGGCGGCAACATGAATGGCGGCGGCAACATGAACGGCGGCTGGAGCGGCAACGGCCCCTCGAGCCCGCGCGGTTCGAACTAGACGCACTGGTGATACTCCTGTACTAATGATCAATCAAGCCTTTTGTATCCCTACTTCAACGCAAATGTCATAGCGTTCTGCTATGTACAGCTATATTCGGACCCTCCTTCTGCTCCTGTCGTTTGAAATGGATTCCTCGTGTCTCTCGCCTTACTAAGTCGACGACTCTCTTCTTATCCACTCGCTTGTGTTAGCATTTCGTTTTGTCCAGTAGCACGTTGCAGCACGAGACAACGTCCGATCGCTTGCACTCTTATACCTTGGCAATCAACACAACATGGCAATGATACTAACAAGCCTTGGCCGTCCGTGGTGGTTACTGGCGCTCAAACTTGACGGCGCCGAGCGTGAAGTCGTTGGAGCCCTCGCTGCCTTTGGCCAGCACCTGGCCGAGCTCCGTGCCAATCAAATGCGTGTTGGTGATCTTGATGTCGCGTTGCTTCTTGACGCGCGCGACCTTGGCCTTGCTCTTGATGTGCAGCTTGCGCTTGGCCCGGTTCGCGTCAATGTTGGCCTGCGTCGTGAGGCCGCTCTGGACGAGCTTGCGCTCCAAGGCCGCGCGGTCGGTGGGCCAGTCGCGGAGCGTGTCACGCCACAGATCGCGAATGTCGTTCGTGCACCCGTGCTTGAGGAGCGCGACCGTGCCCGCGCCCTTGCCAAACTTAGGCGCCACGTCCCATTTCGGGTGGTGCATGTGGCCATGGCGGTGGTCGGGAAAGGGCATGTCCAACGGCAAGTGATGCGCATCGAATGGGAGCATGTACTTGGTCTTCTTGCTCGTGAGGTTGAGGTCCACCATGGACGAGACGCTCTTGTTCTGCACCGTGGGGTGGATCGACGTAAACGGCTGCGGCGGGTTGCCCATCGGACCCTACGTGCAAGCGCCTTTTGGGATTTCAAGTCGAACGATCGTCCAAGCACCTTCTTCTCGGCGTTCGAGACGCGGAACCAGTGGTCGCCGACGCGGATGGCGTCGCCGCGGCGAAGCTCGGGCGTGACATCGTGGTTGACGGTCGTGACGTAGCTGCCGCCCTCGACGGTCGCGAGCGCGCCGACCTGCGTAAAGAAGGAAAAGCCACGCGCGTAGTAGACTTCGGTGCCTGTCTCCGTGTTCTTGATGCAGATGATGTGGCCGGCGCGCGAGAGCTCGCGGAGGTCGTCCTCGACGCCGTTGTAGCAGTCCTTGAGGTCCGACGACGGAATGCCTTCGTTGACGCGCTTGAGGACGTGCTGGAGCTGGTCCTTGTCCTTGATGTCGTACTTGGCCTTGTACGCAAACGTGTCGTTGGCCACGCGGACCTTTGGGTTGTTGCGCAGCCGGTCCGCGACCTCGTCGATCGTGAGGTCGATGCCCGTGTGCTGGTAGATGTCTTGGATCGTCACGGGCTGGTGGTCCTTGATCGAGTTGAGGTACGTGAGGATGTTGTGGAGCCGCCCAACAACCGTCGTCGGGACGTCTACAAGCCGGCGATTGAGCATCGTACGCTGTAGCTGCATGCGACAGAGGTACCTGCGGTCGGGACGTCCGTGCCCGCCACCGTCACGGGTGCGGCGACCGGCGCCGAGACCGTCGGCTGCCCGTACGCCAGGTTCTTCCACATGCTGGCGGCCGCAATGGAGAATGATGGTGGTGCGACTAGTTGCACGCTCCTTTAGAAAAACGCAGCCCGTTTTATCTGTATACCGTGAAAAACGCATGCGATAACCGCGTTTTAATCGCCGTTCTCGCAACCGAGTTGGGGTGCCGTGGCCGTCTGCTGGTTTCTACTACAGGTGCCGCGTGCGAGTGTCGAGTGCAGAGCGAGAGCTCTATGATCTGTCTCTTTTGGAGAGGTTGGGAGGTGCAACCAATTCCGAACCACAGTCCACAATATACAGAATCTAGCCACTGTATTGACAGAATCCAGCCATTGTATTTGGGCGTGCCTTGACTCTTGACAGGTTGCGATGGCGCGTTGACAGGACAGTCCCAACCACAGCGCCTTGACCATCCTCTCAACCCACATAAACAGGCCATCGAGCAAGCGACGTCCCAGCCATCAACTAGGACTGACCTGTCCTTGCATCCATGCATCCGAGAGCTGCCAACCCTCAGATTTGCATTTGCTTTCACCCACACCACCACCACCACCTCCTCCTCTACAATGGTCAAGATCCTCGCACTCGTTTTCCTCTCGGCGGCCATGGCCGCGCAGGCACCCGAGTGCGCTTCGACGTGCGTTGCGAACTTTCTGCCCGGCTGCGGCGGCTGCGGCGCCAACGGCTTCGTCGTGGGCGGTGGTGGCAAGGGCGGTGGCCCCAGCTTCAACGGTGACGTTCCGACCCCGATGCCGTCGGTGCCAACGCCAATGGCCTCGACGCCGCTTCCGTCACCCGCTGCGTCAATCCCGGCCGACAATGGCATGAACACCCAGCAAGGCGGTCTGGGCCAGAACGGCAACACACCCGGCAGCATGATGAACCAGCCGATGCTCAACGGTATCGGCAACGCGATGTCGACCGGAAACAACGGCGGTCTCTCCAGCACTGGCGGTCTCTCGGGCGGCAGCATCAATGGGCTCGGGGCCATGGGTGGCATGAATGGCCTCGGCAGCATGAACGGCGGCAATGGTATGATCGGCGGCGACATGAGCGGCAATGGCATGACCGGCGGCAACATGGGCTCGGGCAACGACGCGCCGTCGCCGACGCCTGCGATGTCGATGCCGACCTCGGACGGCTCGGCGCAGCCAGCCAACGGTCTCGGCAACAACCTGCTCGGTGGCAACGGCATGATGGGCGGGAACGGTGCTGCCGGCAACGGCATGATGGGTGGCAACGGTGCTGCCGGCAACGGGATGGGCAGCAACGCGCAGCTCGGCAATGGCGGCATGGGTGGTCTGGGACAGATGGGCGGCATGGGCACCGAGTCGCAGACGGCCGCGCCGCCGACCGCGATGCCGAATGCGACGACCGCCGTCGTGACAGTTCCTGCGCCGACCACGGAGCTGCTTCCGACCACGGACGCGCCCACGGCTGTGGTATACCGCAAGAGCGCAGCCCCGTCGCTTGCCGCTTCCATGACACTGGTCGTCGGTGCCGCCGCCGTGGCGCTGTTTTAAAACAGCATTTTGGGCAAAACAGTGTCTCGAGTGCCATACAAATACCACGTATAATAAAACGCCACGTTTTGCTTTTTGCTGTGTTGGTTTCGAAAACTTTGGATCATGGCGGCCGAGGATCCACTCCGGCGGCTCTCGGACGCAGCCCGAACGATCGTCAAACAGCGCCGAAGCACGCTCACGGCCATTGCGGCGGCCGAAGCCGACTCGGACGACGATGAGCACGACCACCTTGGCCAGCATGCGGCCAAGTACCACCGCCTCCGCCACGTGACGGCGACCATGGCGCCGGTCCAGCGCGACGTGCAAGCGCAATGGCTCTGGTGCGTAGTACGACGCCATGCCGTCGCCGCATTGGCCTCGTCGACTAGGCTCAATGGCAAGCTCGTGGACGCCAAGGCGCACTTTATCGAGATTGCGCGGTCGTGCCCGGCGTACCCCCACGTCCACTTCAAGCTCGGGTATCTCTACCTCCTTTTGCACGACGCGCACAAGGCCTTGGAAGCGTTTGGGTAGCTCCATGTGCCTCCTCTCGCTAAGCTAAGGCGGTGTTAGGATGGAGGTTGCGACGCTCTTGGCGACGCCCGAGGCAACGCACGAAGTGCATGCGAAGCGGGTCGCGGCCAAGGTAGCGCCACGTCATGGGGCATGCACGAGTCGATGTCGGCCTAGGCCTTCCTCTGGTGTGCCCATGCAGGGCGCTACGAAGCGTACACGCTGCTTCGCATGCCGGAGAAGGCGCAGAAGGAACAAGCCGCGCTCGAGGCCCACGGCGGCGCGTCGCTCGAGGCGCATGTGGCCATGGGCAGTCTCTTTGCCCGTCTTGGCTTGCTCCACCGCGCCGATCTCTGCTTTGAAAAAGGTACTTTTTCGATCGACAATCTGTACGACATTCGAATGAAACTAGCGGCCGCACTGAATGCACGGGATCCCAACTACTTGGCCGAGCACGCGAGTGTGCTCTTGCTGCAGAAGCGGTACGACCGATCGCTGGCGATGGCGATCCAGTGCGTCGCCGTCGCAGCGCCGCTGAGCTACGATGTGTTTCGCGCCCTTTTGCACCAAGCGACGGCGCACCTCCGGCTGCGTCAGCTTTCGAGTGGGCGCCTCGTTTTCTATCACGTTTGTATCAATCATATGCTGCGTGTAGAGGCCAAGAGCATTTTACGCCAAGTTCTCGACAGCCTCGCGCCACTCGTGGAAGCCCACATGACGCCGCTCTTGGAAGGCTCCGATATGGATCGAGCGACCTTGCGGCAGCTGTACTTTAGCGCAAGCCAAGCGGAAGGTGCACTTGGAATCATGGCACCAAAATGAAGCTATGGAGATGGTTGTAGGCTGCCGGGCACTACTGGCAGGTGACTTGCAACATGCGCTCGACGTCTACTACCGGCTCGCCAACGAATTCTCTGATTTTCAGGTACATATCTTGTGCTCTCCAGCGTCCATGTTGCTCCATTTCTACGTAGCTGCCCGTCGTGCTCGTTGCCCCCGGATCTCGGGACGCGACGGGCACCGTGGTCGACACGTCTGCCTTTTCTGTCAACAATATCGTCAACGCCCTCGTATACCTGGACGAGGTAGCATCCTGTGAAGACATGTAATATCAACGGACGCCATGTTGCAGATGGAGGCGCGGTATGGCCCGGATGCATGCTTGTACTTTCACCGGTATTACGCTCCCTACATTTGGACTTCGTGACGAAATGTGTCTAGCGCCAACGTGTACCGAGCCCTTGGGAATCTCGGGAGCTTCCTCCACGACCTCAAAACACTCGAGCAGCTCGCGCCACGCTTTCTTCAAACGTACTTTGATCACGTCCAGTTTTTCTTGTTTCATTTTGCTGTACGTCGTTGTGTATCATCTCGGTGTGTAGGGCAGCTGCGGGGACTTTTTAGACGAAGAGACCATGACGTGGCTGCCGTACCGTCTCTTGTGCGCGCTCCACACGTCTGAGAACGCCCGTACACTGGATATTCGCTAGATTGCTATCTTGATATATTGATACCAACACGTGAGATGGGTAGACCATGTGGCGACGATCCAGAACGCAGCGATCGTCGAGTACTTGGAGACGCGCCGGCAGTATCAACCGCTTGATATTTACGCCGATCTATTCCTCGTCGATGGCCTTCGTCGCCTCGAACTGGACGGTGCGAGTATCGGGGTTCGATCCGATAGTATGTAAAACGATGCTAGGCGAGCTCTCGCTGGCGGCCAAGCGGCGGCAAGAAGCGGCAAGCTTGTCGTTTGACGACTCGCTTTGCGGGCTGGACGACAAGGTACACCATTTCCTGTTGTAATTTTCTTACGACACTATATGGGGTGTAGACGCCGCCGTTGACGAGCCTCCTGTGCATCGCGTCGCTTCTCGAGCGCCACGCGAACCTGCCGCTCGCGCACTTTGTCGCGGGTCTCGTCTACATGTCGCAGTTGCGCACCTTTGGTATCGCTCGTGTCCTTAGAAGATATATGACAATATGTCCACAATCGTTGTTGTCTACTGTAGAAGCGACCAAGCACTTTGGCGTCGCGATCGAGCTCCTTGGCGACGCACTGGGTCGCATGGAAGCAACGATGCAGCATCATACGCACGTGGATCTGCCGACGCGGTGCCGTCACAACCTCGACACTTGGTCAAACCGAATACCGTTTAGATGGATGTACCAGAGCTACGCGCGGGCCAAATACCATGCGCTGGTCTGGTACGTCAAAGCGCCTCAATCGGCGCAAACGACGTCGGGAGCGTAGGCGGTCGGTGCTCCACCGCTTGCTTCTCAACACGATCGAAGCCAACGACGACCTCAAAGCGGCGTTGGCACTCTTTCCTCGGGACCCGCATGGCCAGGTACATTCAATTATCTCTTTAAAGATCTGTGGGCATCGTCTTGTGTAGCTCGTCAAGGCCATGAGCATGGTGCACTACAGCCAAACGCGCAATGCCATCAAGCCTCTTCAAATTGCACTCGACGTAAGACGCGATTTTTCTGGCACCTCGTCTCCACCGACACAACAACGCTGTTCATAGAGCTTGCGCGCCAACGGCTTTGGCAACAACAAGACGATGGTCGTCGATTACATACTGCGAGCGGGCGCGGCGTCCTACTCGCTGCTGCCCGGGGTGCGTTCGAGAAGCTTGTCGCCCGCGGGATCATTGGCGTAGGAGCTGCGCAAGGCTCGCAACACGGCCCTGCATCAACACTACGCAGCATCAACGACACCATCGGCGACACATGGGCACGCCGCGACAGCCGCGGCCAAGCTTGCAACCAAGATTCTGACCACAGACGCGCTCGACAAGCTCTACGACGCCGGAGTCCTCAAGCTCACAAAAGGCTTGGTGCGACAGTGGATGCCGTTTTGTACACTGTTTATTCCAGTGGATAGATTGCATCGGCGATCGAGTATTTTGAAGCGCTCACGTCCATCAAGGAGACGTACATGACGCCCGCGATCGAGAGCCTCCTCGATTTACAGCGCTGCCGTGACCCTCGCTTTGTGGATGAGAAGGTACAACTCGTGGAATCTGGTTTCTGAAAGACTACCAGATATTTCAAGATGTACGACTAGATCTACGCCTGTCACCACCGATTGACCAAGCGGGGGCTCAAGCTCGTCAAGCTCCTTCACATGCCGATCGAAGGTCTCATCGACATGACCGTGTGTCTGCACTACGCCCCGCACGACGTCGACACGTACTGGCACCGGGCAATGCTCTACCGGCAGTTCCGCAACTACGAGGCCTGCCTTGCCGATCTCTCTCTGGTACGACCATCCATGCTACCCTATCCACACCGCACGTGTGGTAGGCGCTGGAGCTCACACTCAACGGGGAGCCATCGACCAAGCTGCGTCTCGTTCGCTTGGACCGGTGACCTCAATGCACCCCTACCCCTCTCTAACCACACATGTCTACCAGATTCAAGACACTTATTCTTGCGCGGAGCGACATCTACACGTTGGCCAAGGATCCGACCAAGGCACTCTCGGACCTCAACGTTGCTATCGAGCTCCACTACAGAGAGAAGAGCCGGGACCCGATCGTCACAGCGTCGTTTCACGAGAAACGCAGTGCGCTTCTCGTCCGTCTCAAGCGCTTTGAGCAAGCCATCCAAGTCGACACTAAGATTGTACACCTGTTTCTCATGGACTCTTGCAGGACATGGAGATCGTGCTGCAACTGACGGCGACCGACGGCCCGCTCTCGGACAATGCAATTCTGAACCATCTTTTGGTGGGCAACTTGCATTGCCAGATGGCCATGACGAGCCAGAAGAAGCAGACCGTGTCCAACCACTACCTCTTCCCTACACCCGTACGATCGCCGCCTTCTAGTCGATACATTTTATGGCGTAAATAGGCCAATGCGCTCTCCTCGGTGGCGGCCGCGTCTCTGGCGACGGCGTGCACGTACTACGACAAGGTCTTGGTCGCGAAACCAACGTTCGCACTGGCCCTCTTCCTCAAGGGTTCCATGCCCGATCATCTGCGCACGAATTGACGTGACTTGCAACGAATCTAGGTCGCATGCACGCCTTTCAAGGCGACTGCGTCCGCGCTGTCGGGTGCCTCGACGACTGCTTGCGGTTCCTCTCCTCCAGTGTGCAGCTTGCCTAATGTCGGCGTAGGCAAGATTATGGGTTTGTGGCTGCCCACTTTTTACGTGGCAGCCTGCGCGCGCAGCAGTGCTTGCCCGACTTGGCGCTCGCCGCGTTCCTTCTCGTGCGCAGTAAGGTGCCATTGTACCCAAAAGTGCAAAGCTCGATTGGGTACTGCTACTACGTCCTTGGCAACCACAAGAGCGCCATCATCGAGCTCACGGCGGCCAGTACGTCCATCGACTAACTACGAATGTACTGGACATGGCCTTGATAGTCGCGCAAGCACGCCACGACGCGACGGCGCGCTATACCCGCGGCCTCGCGCTGCAAGAACTATTGGCTCTGGACAAGGCGATCGACGACTTTTCCGCTGCGATCGCCCTCGACAAGCACATGGCACCCGCCTACTTTCAGGTAGCAGCGACTGAAAAAGAGGGAAGGGGATCGAATTGTGGCCTAGCGCGCGATTTGCCGCGTGCTGCAACAAGACTATAGTGGAGCGAGCGCCGACTTGCGCGAGACGGTTCGGCTCGACACGGATATGCTGCACGCGTACGTCTTGCTCGGCTATGTCTGCTACCACAACGACGAGGTGGAGACGGCGGTGGAAGGTATTCTTCTCGATCTTTTGGTAGAGGATGGTCAAATGACAATATGTGCAGTCTACTCGCAGTTTCTACTTGAGAAAACAACCGACGCCAAAGTACTCGTGTACCGTGGCTTGTGCTACTACCGCCTCGGCGAACTCGACTTGGCGCTGCGGGACCTTCACCGAGCGGTACCATTTCAACAAGAGACCGTCGACACATTTGTGTTCTTAGGTGAAACTCGATGCGAAACTCTGGTTTGGCTACTATGTGCTCGCTCTGTGCTATCACAAAAAGGCGGATGTCGACAGCACCGCCAAGAACATTGCGCTCTGTGTCCCGTACTTTAAGGAGGTTCCGACGGCCGCGTCTTGGAATGTGGCGCCGCCGCTTTGGCACATCCACACGGTTTTTGCCTACCGCGGAAACGACACAAAGGCCACGCTGCTGCGTCTCGCCAAGTACGCCTGCAAGCACTCGTCGTCTCGACCCCCGCGGCCCGCCGTCGGTCCGTTTTCCATCGAGTTTGCTCGAATTTCAAGGCTTTTTGCTAGACACGACCATGCAGAGCCCACGGCAGCTCTACGTGCGCGCGCTCTTCCATCGTACGGTCCGGCACGTGGTCTTTTGAGCCGAGTCATTCGGGAAATGGAAAGCCACACGTTTACGGCCACGTCGTTCAACGCGCATCTCTCGCGTCAGCTCGAGGCGCTGGCCGCCCCCAGGACCATCCCGCCCCCCCGCGGTACCAAATATCTTTGTTTATGATTGTTCCAGGTGGTGCAAATATTAGATAAATAAATGGCTAGGACTCTTTACGGATGCGTCGGTCGCGTGGGCGTACAACTTGCTCGGTACCATGTGCTATCGGCACAAGAAGCTCGAAGACGCGCTCCGAAACTTTACGCTCGCGATCGCTGCGACGCCGACCAACCCCGTGCCGTACTTCAACCGGTATCAATATTGTCTATTGAAACATGGACATTGATTGACGGGCGGTAGCGGCAACATCTACTTGGCCATGCACGCGATTCCTTCAGGTGATGACCTCGACGCAACATCATGTCGTGTGCATTGGATGCTTGAACGGTTGTGATAGCACTGACCGAATATACGGACGCGCTCCAAGCCAACCCGGAGCATGTCCCGTCGCTGACCAACGCAGCGCTGGCATTCCTGCTCCTTCGCAACTTGGACGATGCTCATCGATACCTTCAGACAGCGACAACGCAGCTGCCCATGGTGACGGACGCGCGCGCGCACGTGCTCGTGTGCTACAACTACGCCAACGTCCTTCGGCAGCTCGACCGTCTTGACGAAGCCATCGAGTGGTAGAGACAACTTGTCTGGCATGGAATGGACGTGTTCTTAGGTACACCAAGGCCATGGAGCAGACAACGGCCGATCTCTGGCTCGTGCACAACCGTGCGACGGCCTTGCATTCGCAAATGAAGTACACGTCGGGTGCTGGATATATATCTGTATCGATGTATCAAGATGCGAGCAACTGGCTTGTAGCGTTGCACGACTATGCCGCGGCCTTGGCGCTGGCTCCGTCGACGCTCGAGACGCGCGTCAACCGCGCTCAGCTGTACATCGCCAGCTCGCGCTGCTTCCTCGCGTCCCAAGACTTGGCGGTTGCAGTCACCCATCCTCCAAGTGCGTGTTGGTTTGTCGCAACACATATTGTGGACACTCTGTCGTCGTGTGTAGGCACCGATACAGCGGCCCTCGTGCAGCGGTTGCATGGCTTTTGCAAGCGCTGGACCGAAGCCATGGCGGTCGCACGAGGCGACTTCCTCTACGTGTTTCACGCGTTGCCATGCTTTACCATGTTTGCCATGGACGGCAGCGCATCGCCGTGGCTGGACCCGTTCTTTTTCCATTACAACGATCTCTTGGATGCGACCCACGCGTCGTTCAAAGGTGCAGACATCGCTGTGTTGTTGTTGTATCGCGGAGCCAACCCATGGCTAGCGCTGGAGCGCATGCTCAGCGAGACCAAGACGGCTGATTTACCTCGCCTCGTGCACTCTGCGCTGGAGGCGATGCGGCGCATGGACTTTGCCATGGCCCAGCGGCTGCTGTTAAGTGCAACGTACACGTCCAATCTGTGCTTGGAAGAGATGCAAGTGTGTCTTCTCTGGCGCGCGCAGGTAAGGCTTTTGATGTTGATATTTGCCTTTTCGGATTTTTCGGATTTTCATGTGTCGATCCATAGCTCGAGTTTGACCGGGGCAACGCCAACGACTGCCTCGAAATGCTGCAGCAGCTGCTGCTTGCGACCGAGCCGCGCGACGACGGTACCTACCTGTTTGTACCATCACCACGTGCAAGGAAGGATCGTTGTCTAGCAGACCATCATCCACGCAACAATACCTCCCACGCCCCCGTGCCACTCCACCGCTGGTCCGTGATCATGATGACTCGAGATATGCTGAGACGATGGAATGTGCATAGGCAATCATCCCTGACGTCAACACAAGCGCGCTGCAGCATCGCCGCCGACATTTACGCCTACGCTGGCTGCGTGTTTCAGGCGCAAAACAAGTGGAAGCACGCCAAGCAAGCGCTGGAAAAGAGTCTCCGGCTCGTGCCACACAACATGTTTGCGTTGCTCAATCGGTATAGCCTTTGTTGTCTCTTCTAGAAAGGACATATTGTCCAATGTAGCATCAATTTGTACTCGCTGGAAGGCGACCTGTACGCGGCCATGGAAGCCATTGCGCGCGCGATCGATCTCGTCGTACGTGCTACTCGCACGTTATTCGATCGCTTGAAGTCGGCGGTGGTACATGTAGGCGCGTGGGGTCGCTGTAACCTCGTCCGCCACAACCCCATCATCAGGGGTAGGTTCCACCATCCCGGTGACTCATGTCGTGTTGACACATCTTGTTTAGCACGCCAAGGTGAGCGTCTTGCATCGGTCCCACGATGTCCACGCGTCGTTGGCACACACGCAGCTCTTGAAGCCCCCCATGTGCGCCAGCGTGCGTTCTTGTATACACTAGCGCATGTGAGAGTGCTGGCACTAGATTTGCTCGACACTGTCGAGTCTCCTCGCCGAGTACAAGGCGCTGTTGACGTGGGACGTTGGCAACCATATTCCGCAACTCTGTGCGCTCCAAGGCAAGCTTGCGATTCAAGTCGAGGCGCTCCGGGACCTCGTGGCCAAGCAGCGCGAGCCCGAGACGGGCAACAATACCGTCCAGCTCGATAGCCTTCATCACATTCTTGATCAGTGCGCGCTCGAGACAAGCCGCCAGCCCCCGCTCGAGACGTCGGCGTGGCGGCAGCTCGTTCAGCCCACCAAGCCACTGCGCCGCGGCTCATTGCTACATGCCAACGTCGACGTGCCGTCCACGCCTGCGTTTCAAGACGAGTACAACCGCGTGTGCGGTCTGATTGAGCCGACGCTGGCGACCGATCATGCCGAGATGTAGCCAGTTGATTCATTGATACAAGAAAAAGTTTATTGCTCGTGATCGAGGACTACTGTGCCAAGGAAGCGTACGTTGGAATCTTGGTGCGAATGATACGCAGTGCCTCCGGGCCTAAGATCGACAACGATGAGCCCCATCGAGGCGGCACCAGTGTACCCCCGTTGCGCTCGAGGGCTGCAAGCGTATCATCGATTGTCGCGCGCAGCCCCTTGGCCGAGTACTTGCGATGGATCTGCTGAATGAGTTTGGGCAAGTGCACATTCATGTCCGACCCAACGGCATCTGCAATCGCTCTACCATAGACATGGAAATCGTATCTTGCACGTTGTTTAAACAAGAGGGAGACGTACTGGATCGCTTTGAGCGTCACAACGAGCACATCGTCGTCCGGGGCCATGAGCGCCGCTCGGATCGGCGGAATGAGCAGTCCAAGGAGCGGCCGGACCTTGTCATCAGCGCCCTAGTTTATACACGGATTCGACTTCGAGTCGACTCGAATGCGCAGAACTTACATTGGCGTGCATGAGGTCGTTGAAGCCTTGGCGCGCAAGAAACACGTAAGGGTGATCGGTCTCTTGGAAGCCCTCGCAGCAAGTGACGAGGAGCGGGTTGTACTCGAGGTCTAGTCGTCCTTGTTGAATCGCATTGCTACAGATATTGAGCGACATACCTTCGGGCGATTGGTTCCATTGCAGCGCGTTCTTGATACCTCCGTGGTTGATACTATTGTATGCCTTAGAGCCATATGGATGGCGCGTCGAGATGGATGTACCGGCAAGGGATGTTGCCGGCGGCATACGCGGCACCAAAGTTCCTATTCGAAAGGGTTTCGCCGACGAGGTTATCGGCGTCCGAGTACGTTTTGTGCTTCTTCTTCGTGCTCCACGGGTCGGCTTGTTTGTGCTTGTTGAGTGCTTGCGACGGCATCGGATGTCCCGACTTCTTGGATTTGGCTACCACAACGCGTAAGAGCGTGCCACGTATACTCTTGGCATTTGTATACCGGCCTCGACGTCGTTGTTGTTGACGCTCGGCTTGGCAGCTGGCTTCTTGGTGCGAAGCGCAGCATCCACTGCGGTAGTATTGGGCTCCTTGTCGCTGCGAGACGTGCTTAGGCGCGCCCGGCTACCGTCGCGAATCCCAGCCTTCTCCGACTGGTTGGACACGGGGCGAGTGGCCGTGGTCGGCTTGCGAGTGACGGCTTTGGCGTCCGACGGCGTAGTCGCTCGTGCTTTGATGCTGCTCATGCTCGTACGGTACGTTGCTCTCTGAAGAACTCTCAACGCCAACTACTGCGATGCTCGCTATACATAGCCGAGTTTCCGGCGACTATTCTTACACATGTGCCTTGCAATCTTCCATCGCACGAAGTATTACTTTGCATAAGAGGATTACACGAGGATAAGGGCCACGACCCACGAGAAAACGACGGTTGGTAGGGCGACGACGCCAGTGCTGGTGGTGCCGATGGCGCTCAGTCGGGCGGAGGGTGCTGGCGGAGCAGTCTCGGCAAAGTACGGGTTGAGCTCGTCGCTCGACAAATCGACGGCGCCATTCTCACGCGCCATGGCGTAGGCGTTGACGGCGTAGCCCCAGTCGGGGCATCCGTAGCACCCTGTCGTGCCGCCTCGAGTACACGAGGACGCGCACTCGGGCAGCACCTCGGTGGCGACGGCGGCCGCCACTAGGACGCTGCAGTACCGTAAGAAGCGAACCATCCTCGCTGGTGCAATTGTAGAATGGCGAGTCCAATGGGGTGCGCTTGAATGTCCCGTTTCTTTTGTTTGTGTTATCGATCGACATGATGGAGCTGTCAAGGACAGGCCATGACAGTTCGTCGTCGTTTTGTTAGAGCGCCGGTCCACTCTAGGAGGAATCTGGTAGAAGAGCGGTTAAGCGAGCGCTAGATGATTTGCATGCTTTAATGAAGCACCGACTCAGCGAGCATGACATTCCAGGAACGAGTACGAAGTTCGTTGGTCTGGAGGTGACCAAGTTCCTAACGAAGGTGCTACTTCTAAGGACCGGTGGTATGTGAATGTGGGCTACTAAAGACTGACGTACTAAAGACTGACGTACTAAAGACTGACGTACACAGGAAGTGTAGTAGTGTAGGTGTCGTCGATACGCCCCTTCGCTCACCCGTTTGGCACCGAACTACTGTTTTAATTTCCAGGTATTTTCGAGTTCAATATTGATGTTAGTGGCATGTGCACGCGATTCGTAAGACGCCCTGCTATGGCATATTGGACATCCGAGATTGCGGTAAGTTTTTGATGTTTCATTTACAAGTTGATCGACCGTCTGCAACACAATGCTCATATCCCTGTCCCAGGACGAGCCCCAGGACGTCTTATCAAAAAAACACGCGAGTTGTCTTAGTCCTACGAGATGGACGACAACGAAAACGCTACCTCTGGCGCTGACGGTCGGTCGTTTGGGTTGTACATCAAGCACTGTTTGGCGAGCTGACGGACCCACGCCGGACACGAGACGGTGAACGTCGGCTGGATCGACCCTGCGATGACGAGACCCACGATCGCAGTGTCCACATACGGCTTGTTCGTCGTCGGATTCATCGCGTTCGCATACGGAATCTCGTGCGTGTCCAGCTCCGACAGAATCATTCCTATGCCAGGAGAGAAGCATGATCAACCAGAATAGGGACTGCCAATAAGAACGTACCCAGCGAGAAGATGTCGGCAGCAATCGTGTAGTGGTCGTCCTTGAGTATCTCGGGCGCCATCCACCGGTACGTGCCAACGCTCATGGTCATGGTCTCCTGAAAGTCTTCTTTCGAGACGCCGAAATCACTCACTTTGGCGCCCTTGGTCGTGTCCAGCAAAATGTTGCGGGACTTGAGGTCGCGGTGGATGATGTTCATCGAGTGCATGTACACAAGGGCGTCGACCACATCTCGGAGGACACGGAGCTTCCAGGTCCAGTCCAAGCTACCATGGGACGCCAAGTGGGCTTTGAGGTCGCCGAGGTCCATGAGCTCGAGGACGGCGGCGAGGTCACGAGGTCGAGTCCACGCAACACCGTGCAAAGCGACGATCTGCGGGCACTGGAACCTAGTAAATTCGTCCAGAGTGAGAATGACTAGGATCTGTGTAGGGTCGGGCTAGGGTGCGTACCGGTTCATAAGCTCGAGTTCGGCGATGAAGCTGCGAATGTCTTCGACGCTGCCGCGATTCGGAAGGAGCCGCTTGATCGCAACGGCCCGGCCTTGAAGCGAACCGCGCCAGATTTCGCCGAACGCGCCTTCACTGAGTTTCTCGACGTAGGTGAGGTCGCGAATGGAGATCCGGATCGGTTCGAGCACATCGAGCTCGGTGGCCAGTCCGTCGGACGTCTCGACCTCGGCTACTCGATCACATTTATCAGAAAGCGAAGACTAGAATTTGGTACCGTAGCGGCGTCTGCGTATGTAGAGGACAAAGCCTGTGCCGAGAAGTGTGAGAAGGGCTGTGATGGCGGCCGCCACAATCACCCAATCGTTTCCTAGAGGGTAAGTCAGCGTCTCGGCCATTTGATGGGGAGAGACCACCGTGTCTCGAACTCGGAGTGGGGTCGGGGGTAACTGTTCGGATCAGGGTGGAGGCCGATGTCTTATTCGGCGATACGACGCACGCCGACCACGCGTACAGAGGCTCCTGGGACCAGAGCGGTTGAAGCGTACCGTCTTTTGTGGTCCCACAAGAAGCGCTGGGTACGTTGGTATTGAACGACGAGCCGCCTGGGTACACGTAGTCGTGCATCGACGGTCGGAGGAGGCGCAGAGCCACGTATGTTGTCTTGTCCATTGAGATTTCGCGGAGACCGGTAGACATGGCGCCGCTACGCACAGGCATGCACTTGTCAACCGCACGAGCACATAGGACGACGCACAATTTGTCGATCGCGTTGGTGAGCTTCAAGTTTGTAATACTCTGGAGGGCACTGTTGCCACTGAGCTCCCTACGCAGCACCTCTCGTGCCATAAAATTCAACTAGAAACTTCGTACAAGCACGTGAGGGCGGGCCAGTACATGTCTTGGAGCGATGTGAGCGCGTTGCCACGAAGGTCTCTGTCAAGAAGAGCGATTTAGCTCCGATGGACATACTGTACACAAGTACAGGTAGGTCAACGGCAGCGTTCGCAATGCAGCGACATCTTGGATGTGGTTGCCATTGAGCCGTCTACCAGAGCTCACAGATACAGCCGACATGTACGAGCAAGGGACCACGCACAGCATGCGAAGGGTTGCGGGAAGGTTGGGGGGCAGCTTGCCCAGCTCGCTGTCGGAAAGCAACCTACGCGCCGAATCGTGATGATATAGAAATAGCGCGCAGCGTACAAAGACTCGAGGTTTGACGGCCACACAATCGTCGGTGAGAGTGACCGCAGCTTGCAGTGGTTCATGGCGCTACACCAGTATTGAGCTCCACGGCAATCGAGACCACACTATCTACATGGAGGGCCGGCTCAGCCGCGTGCTTCTACGAAGAGGTGTTGCATCGTCTCCCAACATCGACTAACAATATTATATACTAGTACGTACTTGAGCATGTTTGGCAGGACGAGCTTGGTGAGGTCGACGTATCCGCCGCCACAGTCAAAGCCGCTAACACATTCGATGAGCGCTGACACAACATTGGCGCGGAAGGTACAGCGTCGTGTTGGCGTAGTTGGTGACGTTGCCGACGGCTGCGAACGAGTAGGTGGCCACGGGCGTCGCGCTCGAATCCGTTTGATCCGCCGCCAGCATTTTGAGAAGCGCATTGACGTCGTAGTCGCGCAGAAAGCACTGCTTGTTGAGCAAGCAGACAGGTGACGTCAGTGGGCAGTTGTCGTCGGCTGCGAGGATTGCCGCGTCGTCGGCAATCGCCAGCGAGCTGTACGGGCACGGCTTCATGCTCACTTTGCTCTTTGCTGCTAGCTTGCTTGTGGCGCGTTGGACGTGGGTGTAACATGGACACGGATATAGTGTGCGACAGAGCAGCAGGTGTCAATTAGACTAAAATTGGTGTAATACTGGTAGGAGCCCCTGGTCGTAGGGGGTGGGCGAACCTTCCATACGTGTTGCATCCAAACAGAAGTCGCATCATCTGATTGGGCGAGAGGGACATATATGGGCCATAAATTGCTGCTCGCTATTGGTGGAAACAAATAGTGTGATGCATGACGCGGCCAACGTGTCCAATGGCCGCGCTCTTGCTCGCGTGCTGTACGCGTCGCAGTCATCAGTTCCGACCAACTTGACCTCGAATCTTGCATGATAATTGTGCAAAGCTTTATATATTGACTGAGGTATACGATATATGGCTATGGTAGCGCTTTGCAGGAGTTGTGCATCTCGATCTGCGCTTAGCGGGATAGATCCAACCACATCTTCTCGCACGCCGCGGCGTATGATTGCTTGCCTACCTTCGCGACGACAAGATGAGGACACGTCAGGGCAGTTGCGGTGCATGTAGCGTCTCGACTTCAAGAGCGTTGTACAGTCGAGGTCGACGAGCGCGCGAAACCGGTTGCTCCATCCGTGCATCGTGACGTTGTTGCACGATAGACACTTGGTCGTGATGGCGCTCAGGTACGCACCGCAGAACGACAACGGGCAAACGACGGTGATGCTGCAGTCGGCGAGTAGAAAGTCGACGGGCGTCGCCGCGCCCATTGGCATCGATGAAAAAGGAAATACATTACTCGGTTGGGCTTTCTGGTTCGTCGTCGAAGCGCTGCGACGCGAGAGCGGGAGATGAAGCTTGATCTTCTTCCAGTGTGCAGCCACCGCAGCGCACACATGTCGTCCAAAAGCTTGCTCTTGGGTGTCGGCGTGAAGCTGGCGGCGTCTTCTGCGTCCGGTGTATCTTCGACGTTGGGACCATCGCTCTCATCGTCGACGTCTTCGTCTGCATCATGGATCTCAGCGGGGTCCACATGGTCGGCGGCTTCGTTGCGTGTGCGCCGCGGTCGGACGTTCGGCCACGCGAGCGAGACGACGGACATTGCGCGGGCAGTGCCCCGCGTGCTGCCGGCGGATGCCGCAGAGGATTCAGACCTGAACTCCACTCGGCGCTACGACCCGAGTCTTCGCGTCCGGTCGATCGGCTCGGACTCGCGCTCGAACATTGCGCTGTTCCATCGTTGTGTGGTTCTGACGCGCTGGAGACTCTCGCCACGAAATTACAAGTCGTGTCCAATGAATGTGCAGCAAGCAGAAGTCTCGGCCAGTCATATCAAATACATCATTTCTTAGCTTAGCCATCTGATTGGTCAAAAAGGACTCGGAGGGGGTAGGTTTAGAGTTGGCCGGGTTGCAATTACTTGGTTTTACAAATTTCAAGTCTAATTTATGAACAAGGCCCTTGTCGTGTCACCAGCCACGAGAGCGCAGTGCTGGTGTGTAGCAGCTTAACCATACAACGAGTGCCCGGTTTCCCAGTGGCTGCACCTGTTTCCTTCCTTCTCTTTTCTCTCGCGTCGTGTCCATAAAATCTTAGATTGCAACACTCATGGTACATTCGCCGTTACACCAGCCCACAGGCGATTAATAGAGAGATTTCGCAACTGACTTCCCGTTTCCATCTGCGTTTTATTTTATGTGGAGGGAGACGGGACGCAAAAAGTAAAAATTGTGATTTCGCACAGGACATCCCGTCTCCGTCGGCATTCGAATGCAGACGAAGACGGGAGCTACATCAACCTTGATTTCGCAAAAAATTCAGAAGAATTCCATCCTCGTCTGGTCTTGTGCTACTGCTGCGATAGCCTACCGTAGACCTCAAAACAACGCACCTCGCGATTTTACCCCTAACCTCGATTTTCCTCAAAATATCTCACCAAACCCAATTTTGGCCCTCACAATAACTCACCATTCAAAATTTCATAATGTACCGTATGGTACCAAGCGCTGGCTCGAAGCCTCATAATAACACACCACGCCATTTATGAAGCTAGTGTTAGCCTTGCCCTAGTCGAGGGTAAGCGGCTTCATATTGATGAGCATCGACTCGTAGGCGCCAGTCGTGCTCATTCCGCACGTGTCGTAGGCGTCGGCGATCCATCGACGAGTGCGATTGTCCTTCTTGACGTCGGCGTAGACCTTCTCGACAAAACCGAGACGCGGTCGCGT